AAGTGATAAACATTTGATCATTATCTAGTATTTATAGCTACATTCTTTTTATTGCAACCAAACAAAATTACTAGAATTCTGGCATGCATTATACAGACGCGGATACTCACCACTACACTACCGAGAAAGTGGTGTAGTGGCAAGTGGCGCGCTTACCACGCGAGCGGTCCGGGGATCAAATCCTGGGTCGTGAGTCGCCCGGGCCAACCAAGCCTTCCATCCCTCCGGGGTCGGTTAATTGGTACCAGACTTGTCTGGGAGGATAAAAACACTGACTTGAACATCGGCTGGCCCCCGCAAGTCATTGTATAGGCCACATCGCATTCAAACGCCACTACGAATGTACAAATGGAAGTAGAATGCGTGCCGCATCCCAAAAGGGATTGATCAACGGCAAATGCTTTATCCTTTATTATAGCTGAATACCTATTATATGGTATCTAAGTGGCTGAAAGCGCCGCTGAGAACTTGGAAGGATCAATTTGGTTTCAAAGCCAGCTACCGCCTGATCGTTTACCTTTTTGTCGTTCTTAATGCAATGAAGTTCATCATCAGACATAATTATGCCCGTTCGATCCGTCAACAAGGCTGTGTTCTGGTTTCACTGGAGCAGCTTTTTTCATTCTATGCACAAACCTCGGAAAACTTCTAAAAAATGAGCCAGCTAATCCTAACGAATAGGCCGGTTTTATGATACATCGCATTATACTTATTATCCATTAGAAAACGCCTTAACGACCCAGTCGAGCTGGAAAACAGTTCGATCCGCACTCATCACAGAATAAAAGCGTCCCCGAGCCATGCCTCGACAGAAAGCTGCAAGTTCTCCTCCTCATAAAGTCGTCTTCGCTCGAAATGGCCACAAATGCTCTCGTCACTCTTGTGTGTACTGTCACTGGTTTGGTGGTTGTACTCTGCTTAGTTTCTGCCTTCACTATTTACTCAGACATAAACTCATTCTATAATCAATCGCTGAAGGATCTGCATGATTTCAAGGTGAGCCGGTTCTTAATAAGAAGTTCATCATCGCATAGTCGCCATGCATTCTACCCCTAGTCGAAACTGAAAAAGACATGCGGTAATGGGAAAATTTTGAAAGAATTTCGAGCGCTCATGTTCTTTTCTGGAGGGCTCCATGTTGTTAGGTTAGGGGGGGGGGTCGGTCGAAATAGGGCTTCCGAAAAGCTGGTAGGTGACTAGGACTATGCTAGAAGAGGAAAGAAACGTCAGGGAGAACAAGGGTTACTCATGTCCGCCACCAGAGTCCCTTCCCCACCCTAAGGCTTCGCTGTCCAAAATTATGTTGAGTGACTCACTCAATTCCCTGCCCGAACGAGATTTGGCACGGAATTCGCGAGCAATCTCAAAACTTTGCCATCATCAGAGGTGTCGACCGATGGCCACTTGTACCCTCAAGCCTCTAACGCCACTTCGAGCGCTGAAGTGGTGTTTCAGTGTGGTCAGGCTCAACATTATATTAGAAATCGACTATGAACGGGTTGGTGACGGCCTAACAGAGAATATGCTGCCTTAGAGACTTCCGAAGTTTGACGATGCGGCAGTTGGACCGTACACCCCCCCCTGTTTCGAGAAGCGCGTCGGGTGCAGACATACACCAAACTGACGAAGGCCTCACAAATGTAAGATTTCTGCAATGAATAGACGTGTTTTGCAGTTGTTGATCTATCAAGCCGTCACTGATCTTACACTCTTATTTACAATCAGCATGGAATCATATGATGCACGGACTTACCAAGTTTTACTTGGAGCCGTCGTCACTTGTCGTGTGTGTGGTCTGCACTCGACAGCTTTAGGTGTCTCTGTGGAACAGAGACATATTCTCAGTGGGGGCTTATGGCTTCACGACCAATCCCTAGCATTCGTATTTCAATAACGACAGGTTTTTATTTCAGAGAATCGCCAACGATGCTTGGAAGGAGTTGATAGTGGATTCTCCGCGAACGGAACATGCTGCACATGCGTCCATTCTACAACGAGGCAAAAGAGCCGACAACGTCATTTGTAACTGCATGGAAAACCCATCAATTTGTCCAGTTGGCAGTCCAGGGCCGATGGGCAAGCCAGGAGAACCCGGTTTAGACGGGACAGATGGTGAGCCTGGTATTCCGGGTCAGCATCAGATGCTTATTCTATACAGAAGACCTATTGATTGCATACCGTGCCCAGCTGGGCCACCAGGTCCACCTGGGCTTGCCGGCCCTATGGGACCGATGGGACCCGTTGGTTGGTACGGCCCACCAGGTCGTCCGGGTAAGAATGGCGAAAATGGTGCACCTGGAGAGCGAGGAAACCCTGGACCACTCGGTCAACCTGGTACCCCTGGAGTGCCTGGTTATGCTGGAAGCAATGGCATCAAAGGTAAAGCGTCTCCGGGACCTGCTGGTAGCCGTGGTCTGCAAGGCCCTGAAGGTGCCGCGGGTAGGAACGGAGAGGATGGCCGAAATGGTATGCCTGGAAGACCAGGTCCACCTGGTCCTCCAGGTGAGGATGGTACACCAGGGTAGACGGAGTACCCGGCTTTTCGGGATTAAAAGGGCTGCTGGGCACGGATGCTGCATACTGTCCCTGTCCGAGAAGAACCTCGGCATTTGTGGAGGATTTCGTCAGAGTCAATCCACCGTCTGTTGCACCTTCTCCTGAGCTCGTTGCCTATCATGAATAGATCATATAAAGATGTACAAATTATTGAATGTTATTGAAGCGACTCAATGAATTCTTTTGAATAAGTGTATCAGCAGTCAAGGGACTTCAGAAGAAAGTTATATGGATATGTCCAAGAAAACTTTAGGCCATGTTTACACATTCATTTATCAAGCTGAGCTTATAAATAAGGTGATAAAATATATAAAAACATAATCGCAACAGACTCAGACTGCCCACAACATTTTCTGGCGGTACGCTTATAGGCTCCGAATGAGATGGTTTCCATCTCAGTAAATATTTTTGCCCACACCAATCAAAGGCCATGCCCCAGGATCACATTGATGTGGCTTTTGCACACGAATGCGAATGTATTGTGCGAAATGGGCCGGCAGTAAAGAAAAAGGAAAGGTTAGGAGCTCACTCACCTTAAGGGCTCACTCATTTTCCTAATCGG